TTTTTTTTTGTAGCACAACGGAGTCTACAGCCGCCCTGACACGCAGCAGCACAGGGACCAGCTTGAAAAGACCAGACACAACAGAGTCCATCAATTCCTCAATGTCCAATGGAACCAACGATGCAGGTACAGATATGTTACACAAGACGTACTTTAGGAGAAAGGAAACCCTGTACAGATTTGGAATGCAGATTTATTTTTGTGTATTCTTTTATTTAGGGAATCACCTTGTGTAGTACTATAGAACCTTATGGTTACACCTTCTAATTCCTCCTCTCTAAAGCTGTGACCGTTCCTATGGTATAAAACAGTCATTATTTGATATGCTCCAAATTCACAAGTTTATTGTGCTTTGTAGCAATAGATCTGATGTATTCACTTGCTGCTACCTGTATGCTATGTATATGTGTGTGTGTGTATGTATGTATGTATGTATGTATGTATGTATGTATGTGTATATATAACCCTCCTATTAAAAAAAAATACATAGTCCTATGGGGGTTTAAAAATGGGACATAATGTGCCAGGGGATCAGAAGGCCTTGGTTAAGGAGCAAGGTGCTACAATGACACCTGAGGCCCAACACTATGCCCAGGAGGGCTCTGTAGCACTTCTATGGCAGAAGAGAAATAATGATGACATCTCCCAGCGTTTCCCATAATGGTTTTGTGGCAGAGAAGATTAGCCAGTGTAGCTGTGCCCTTCCTCCCGCTACAGCAGCAGAAAAAAAAGGAAGAACTTGTACACACAGGCTTCAGTTTGCACACAGCCGTGTGTGCAGCAATATTTCACAAATAATTTGCTCAGCATTATAGTGGCTATAATTGTGGACACTCTTGGAATATGTAGCATTTCTCTAATTTCGAGTCATATATTTGGGCTCCATTCACACCTATATTTTAGGTGAAATTAGGGATTCTTGCGTAAGGAATTTACGATTTCCTGCAGCAGGAATCACTCATCTGCAGTTTCGCATGCGGCAGCTGTCACCCATTCAATTTAATAATGGGGTGACCGTCACATAAATTGCAAGCAGCAGAACGCTAGCGCACCGCAGGGAATCGTATGTGATATGATTAAATGCGTTTAGGAAGCAATAACTATCCCTGGACTCCACGATCGTGCTTCCAGGGATAGTGATTGATTCCTAACCTCATGTAATCGTATGACAGATGATTACATGCAGTGTGCCAGCTGCGTGTGCCAGCTGCGTTTTCAAATGCAGCGGCTGTCATTAAATTGAATAGGCGACAGTTACCACTTGTAAACAGCAGATTAGTGATTCCTGCTGCAGGAATTTGCAAGTTCCTGATGCAGGAATCCCTAATAGCACCTGAAATATTGGTGTGAATGGAGCCTTATAGACATGACATGGTCACTAGATCCATACTAAAAGATCAAGCAGCACAAATGTCAGCTCAGCATTAAGGGAAGCTTTAGGTATACCTTTAGAGAGAAATACATGGGGGAGGGTGTCATTACTGACCTCATTCTAAAAAATACTAGTTTCCTGGCTGTAAGTCTACCTGGAATACCTTTCAAAGCAGGAAAGTCAGAAGCCTTTTATCTGCATGTTTTAGGTCCATAATTTGAAGTACTGAAGCATGAAGGTTACAATCAGGCAGCTAACAGTAGGAGGGTTTAGTAGGCTCCTCGTGGCAAGTAGGCACCATGGGGAGATCCTAACCTCATGTAATCGTATGACAGATGATTACATGCAGTGTGCCAGCGTTCTGCGTTTTCAAATGCAGCGGCTGTCATTAAATTGAATAGGCGACAGTTACCACTTGTAAACAGCAGATTAGTGATTCCTGCTGCAGGAATTTGCAAGTTCCTGATGCAGGAATCCCTAATAGCACCTGAAATATTGGTGTGAATGGAGCCTTATAGACATGACATGGTCACTAGATCCATACTAAAAGATCAAGCAGCACAAATGTCAGCTCAGCATTAAGGGAAGCTTTAGGTATACCTTTAGAGAGAAATACATGGGGGAGGGTGTCATTACTGACCTCATTCTAAAAAATACTAGTTTCCTGGCTGTAAGTCTACCTGGAATACCTTTCAAAGCAGGAAAGTCAGAAGCCTTTTATCTGCATGTTTTAGGTCCATAATTTGAAGTACTGAAGCATGAAGGTTACAATCAGGCAGCTAACAGTAGGAGGGTTTAGTAGGCTCCTCGTGGCAAGTAGGCACCATGGGGAGTTTTGCTTATTACTCTTTTTGCTTTGACAACACTTTTTGTTGTGCTGAGTGAGCTTTCCAGTATAACTCTATAAGACACTGACTTCTAGACATGTGCGATTTCGTTTCGTTCCGAATCGAAATTCGGACGAATTTTCGGAAATTCGGACATTCGGATGTATCCGAATTCCGAATTACAGACCTAACGAATCCGAATTTCCATTTCCGAAATTCGGTAGCGGTAGTTCGAACGTTCCTTTCGTTTTCGGTTCTTATTCGTTTCTTATTCGTTTCGTTCGTTGGAGCAAAGTGACATTAGAGAAGGAGAAAAATATTTTCCCCCCCTCAAATGTCACGAATGAACGAACGAAACGAATAAGAACAGAAAACGAAACGAACGTTCGACCTACCGCTACCGAATTTCGTCCGAATTCCGAATCCGAATTGACTTTCACACCCGAAAAACGAAATAACACAAATCAGAATTTAAAACGAAACTAAACAAATGTTTTGGCAGTGCACATGTCTACTGACTTCTCCAAACAGGGAGCTAAGTCCCATTCAGCAAGCAGCCTACTCTTTAATAAAGGCACCTCAGCTGCTAGTAATGATGCTGCCATTAGTCAGAGGGATGATCCTATTCAATAGCTTTCCGCTGTGTTTGCAGTATGAGGACCACTGCCTAGCCCAATTACACATTATGAGTACAGCAGGCATGTCATTTATGTGGTTTTAAAGAAAATGTGTCCTGTATGAAGTAAGTTTACCGTGCTGTAAAGTAGTCCGACACATTATAAAAATTGCATTTTTCTTTCTGCCAATTCTGAATAATTAGTAGTATAATATAAACAGTTTGGGTGCATTCAATCTCCATTCCATAGCAGAGAACGGCACAGGATCAGGAAATCTGCTCTGTGTCTCAGCACCACAAACAATAATTAGGGATGGGGACACCTAAAGTGAATTTTATATCCTGTTGTAGTGGTTTTCTTGACATGTTTCTCGTATAAAAGAAAACTACTGTGTGTTGAAATGCTTCTTTTTGGTGATGGCTTACCTTTATTTGTATCCTCCACCCATCAGATCAGTATGACACTCATGATGACCGGGATGATGAAGAAGGGGAGTCAGTGGAGGAACACAAGAGTGTTATTATGCATCTGTTGTCCCAAGTCCGCCTGGGTATGGACTTGACTAAGGTGAGAGCTTACCCCGGGAGGAGGAACAAAGTGTGGTCTGTAGAAAGCAATCACTTTTCTGCTGCAGTTTAGGAAATGAAGGCTCTGTGCTCCAGATTTATATAGCTAGAGAACTGTTTTTGTACAGATCAAAAATGTTAATGTCCACATGGCACCTGTGACTTGTTCAGTTTTGCTATATGTACTAGGAAAGATTTCTTGGACTATTATGGAATTAGGAATGTAAGGGCACCCTCCAGTCAAACATGCAAATTATTAGAGAGGTGGAGATATGGAGTGCCGGATCTCCTGGTTTTGGCAAAAGCCCTGGCTAGTGGTATTATCTGCTGTAAATATGTTTCATTGACCACATCACCCAGACACCTAGGATGCATGGCTGGACTCTTGTAGTATGTTATTGAAAATATAAGGGGAGCACCAGACTGATTTGTGTCCAGATATATTTTAGCGTTGCATTTAGAAAAAAAAAGTAATTTCTAAGGAGGGGGAACCTGGGAATGCAAATTAGGCATTCTTACACAGCCTACTATTGGGTGACACTCATATTTGTATTGTGTGCATCTAGTGCCACTGACTTCCCCACTCACCAACAGATTTGGTAACCATTATCATCATCTGCCTTGGATATGTGTCTGCAGAAATCTAGTCAGGAGTGGTCTCTTGGTCCTGAGCATAGTCCTTGGGTAGTGTTTAGAGGGAATGGTAGCTTCAAAAACTTATGTTACATGATTCTTTGCTATGTATAGGCATCTGGAGACCACAGTCAGCGGTGGGATTTATCCTCTTAGAACATTTTCCTGAAGTGAACACCTTATCTCCTTCATTTTACGCTTCACTTGCAGGGAGTTACTTATTATTTGTAGCTTAGACTTCATTGGTATGGTTTTAAAGGCCATACATTTATATTCTATTCTTCCATTTGTGCAGGTTGTGCTCCCCACGTTTATTCTTGAGAGACGATCTCTGCTAGAGATGTATGCTGATTTCTTTGCACACCCTGATCTGTTTGTGAGGTACACTTTAATATTCTGCTCTAGTTGGTTGCTCTGATACTAGGACATTGAGCTTCCATTCCCTTTGCCATGTGATTCATCTGTCTGCCCTCTGTTCTTTCAGCATTGGTGACCACAAAGACCCCAAAGACAGGATGATCCAGGTGGTACGGTGGTACCTGTCCGCATTTCACGCAGGCCGCAAGGGGTCTGTAGCTAAGAAGCCTTACAACCCCATACTGGGAGAAGTTTTCCAGTGTCACTGGGTTCTACCTGGTTCAGAAAATGATGACTCTGTAAGTTCTAGAAGAGAGAGAGCTAGTGCAAATATATGAAAATGTAATCCTTATTTAATGGTGAAATGTCATGTTTTCAGTGAGGACTTATTTGTAAGCTCAGTGGTAAGTGGTTATTTTTTTTTATAGATATTAGATGGAGCCCTTCAACAAAATTTGGGCTGTCTGAATGTGTTTATTTATTTTTTATTCCACTGAGATCCAGACATCGGTTTCTAATTTTAAGCCCCTCGTCTCTCTTTCCTTCCTTCTCAGCCCTCCCCTTGCATCAACTTCCTTCACAGTCCTTTCCTTTCTCTCATCTCCTCTTTCTTCCCTCTCAATCTCCCTTGTATGTTCTTCCTTCAGAGCCCTTCTCTTTCCTTTCCCTCTCCCCCATTTCTTTCACCGCCATTCCCTCTCTTTTCTCTAGTCTCTTCTTCCTTCAGAGCCCTTCCCTCTCCTTTCCCTCATTACTTTCATGCACACCCCTTTCTTCCCATCCAGTTTTCTTGTGTATGGCTAGATTCACATCTTTACTTTTTTGTTTGCTGTGTTTTCCATTGCGATCAATAGAAACATATCATATGCATCTCAATGCATGCATAAAGATGTGCATCATAGCACACACAAACACACCATGATGTGTGTCAACGCATGTTCACAATGCAACACTTCACAATGTACATTCACACACAAAGGCGTGGTTTTGAATGCTTTCATTTAGAGCTGCAGCTAACGATTATTTTCAAAATCGATTAGTTAGCCGATTATTAAGTTCGATTAATCGGTTAATCGGATAAACAATTAAAAAAAAAATTAAAAATGGATCCAGTGATGGACTACTAGTTTGTATTGAGATTGTAGTCCATCACAGGAGCAAGCTTGGAGCGGTGGAAAAAAATAGTGTGGTGTGCAATATAGTGAAAAGGAAAGTGTAAAATTATACAGCAATGAATGCAGAATGGCACCGGCTATAGAGGACTACAAAACCCAGCAATAGTACATTATAGCTGGTGGTATTCTGCATTGTGCCGTATAATATATTATTGCTGGGATTTGTAGTCCTCTATACAGTGCAGTGCAGAATATCACCAGCTATAGAGGAGTCAACAAATCCCAGCAATACATTATACATACAGTGTATAATGTATTGCTGGGATTTGTATTCCTATGTATAATATACAGCACAATGTACCATCAGCTATAAAGGAATACAAATCCCAGCAATACATTATAGAGCACCATGTGTGGGAAGTGCAGGCTTACCTGAGCAGTCTTCCAGCAACTTGCTTCTGAGATCGGACCTGTCTATCGGTGGCTGTCATCCCCCCACACCTGCTCCTCCTTACTACATCTCCCCGCGTCCCTGTGCCGATCGTGGATGTGGGCGGGCGGTGAGTGTGAGGCGGGGAGGAGGTGCGGCGTGAAGAGCGTGGATGTGGGCGGGTCTGGCAGCGGCGAGCGTGAGGTGGGGAAGAGGTGCGGCGCGCAGCGTGTGTGGAGCCGTGAACAGGGCCAACTGATCGGAAGCCGATTAATCGATTATTGAAAAAGTTGACAACTTTTTCAATAATCGATTATAATCGATTATGTCGATTAGTTGTTGCAGCCCTAGTACCTTCACAGTCCTTTCCTTTCTCTCATCTCCTCTTTCTTCCCTCTCAATCTCCCTTGTATGTTCTTCCTTCAGAGCCCTTCTCTTTCCTTTCCCTCTCCCCCATTTCTTTCACCGCCATTCCCTCTCTTTTCTCTAGTCTCTTCTTCCTTCAGAGCCCTTCCCTCTCCTTTCCCTCATTACTTTCATGCACACCCCTTTCTTCCCATCCAGTTTTCTTGTGTATGGCTAGATTCACATCTTTACTTTTTTGTTTGCTGTGTTTTCCATTGCGATCAATAGAAACATATCATATGCATCTCAATGCATGCATAAAGATGTGCATCATAGCACACACAAACACACCATGATGTGTGTCAACGCATGTTCACAATGCAACACTTCACAATGTACATTCACACACAAAGGCGTGGTTTTGAATGCTTTCATTGATTTAATTGGAAAATGCATCAAGGAAAAAAAGCATAGATGTGTATCCAGCCCAGGCATAGGACATACTATATATTGTTCCTTCCTTATTCATGTTCATGAGACCACCACACCTGTTCGGCTGGACCTCCACTGTTTACTTTTAGTGCATTGCAGGGATTGCCCCCACGTTCATTGGGAAAATGCGTTATCCATCTTCAAACAAAAAAATTAATCGTAGAGGGCTACACATATAATTAATACCTGTAATTCTGCTTCTTGTTTCAAAAACCCTATAACATTCAGTGGAAAAAATAGAGAGTGTAGATTTAATTTAAAATCCCCTGAGCAAGTGTCCCCATAGTGTAGTATTCAGCCAGTTGTTCTGAAAACTCCCAGTCCTGTGCGGAGTCCTGTGCCAAAGAAAATACAAACTAGAAAGTCCAAGAAATGTTTTAAATGATTTTTCGGTATGCTGTGTGAATGGGAACACATAATAAACATATAGTGGGGCTTCTCGAATTTGGCTCCAAAGGTGGAGATACTCTTTGAGCCTTAATCCTTTTTGTCGTGGTCAGAGGAACTAACGTACTCTCATCTCTTTTCCACTATACTAAAGAACTGAAGAAAAAAATTTAAATAAAGTCTTTACTGACTTATATGCTCACGTCGGAGAGATTGCCATTGAATCTTTCCCCCCAATGTCAACCTGTTATTAAACTGGGAAGGGAAGTTAAATCTCCCCAGTGGACATTCTGTCCATAACCAAGAGAGGAAAAACAAATGTAGCTTCAGTTGAGAGGTTTTGTGTTAGTTGTGTAGTTTTCCTGGTTGTTGAACAGGCTGACAAATCGGTGTTGTCTCTGTTGTTTCTGCTGCTCTTTGTGAATTGAATCATTTGTTGTTTTATCTTGTAGGAGCCAGTTTCTGAAGGACCGATTCCATGGGCTTCCAAAAACAATATCACATTTGTGTCCGAGCAGGTCTCGCACCATCCACCAAGTAGGTCACTGCACCTTATTCCTTACATTTCATTGTCTGGAAGACCTATTTTATTTACATTCGTGTGTCCACAGATGTCTTGCTTTCTCTCTCTCTGCCACTGCTGTCTTAGGATGAGAGCAGAGCTGGAAACCCAGTTAAAGATCACTGACCTTTGTGTTAGAACAGTTCAGTCACTGTGGTCACTAGTTATATATTATCTGGGGGGGGGTCAGATTTTTTAAAAGGGCATTTCAAGAAAATATAGGAATCATATTTATTCTGGACTGCTCCATAAAGGAAGGTTGGGTCTAAGATGATACAGATTAAAGCAAATTCAATCTGTTGGTTTATTATCCTCGTTATTTAGTGCCTTGAAACATCTGAAGATGCACATTTTGCAAACCAGGCAAATTCTGTAGCTTGGTCCAATAATTCATGTGCCTCTTAATAATTTATTGGGACATAAATCTTCATCTTGTTTTCGATTATGAAGCTGCAGGTAATAGTCTGTACTCAGAACAGAGAAGAATGCAATCCAGCCAATACGTTGTAATGTTTACTTTTCCATGTACCAGCCACGTTACAGTCAGTCATTTCTGGGATAATGCCGTGCTCTTACAATGAAATTATAAATATTTGGTTCCCCTTTTCCTTCCCTAACATGTCCATTGTGGCCTTGCCAGGACCTAGAAGTGTCCTGAAACTCATGGATAGTAGTATGTGTATGTACACCGCAGACCATAATGGGACAAACCCAATGATCTGTAAAAGCGCTATTTTAGAATGACCATCTGTATGGCCTTTTCATGATCTTCCAAGAAGCCCTAAACTGTAAAACTTTCTTGTGCCAAAGTGGCGCATCTTAGGGGGACTTCAGCTGTCCCGAGCCCGCCAGCAATAGTGACAACTCTTACATAATATTGTGGTAAGGTAATGGTAAAGTTTGTTCCAAAGTGAATGGTTTACAGCAATTTTCCGAACTTTGCAAGTTCTGCTATATAAATTTTTTTTTTTGTAGTTTCAGCCTTCTATGCCGAATGTTACAACAAGAGGATACAGTTCAATGCTCACATCTGGACAAAGTCCAAGTTCTTGGGGATGTCTATAGGAGTCCACAATATTGGGCAAGGTAAGGACACACAGAGATGTCGTTGTTCTCAGGGGAATGTAGTACAGTGTACTCCATATTGTAGAATAATTCCTCTAGTAGAAAGGCTCAGGAGCGGTTGTAATTTATGGGTCATTATCACAAAAAGAGAACCATTCATTTTTGAGGTTTACCTCATGAAAAATGTACCATGGTGGTCCTGTGTGGTTGTTCTTTTAGACTGCAGTAAAAGGTCCCAGCAAGCTCCCTGACCCAATGTCTCAGTTTCAGCAGCAGACACACCAGCTTCTCCCAGGATCCTTCTTAAGGGGTTTTATTTTAAAAATAAAATAAGTAGATATATGGCACTGGGTTGGTGCGCCTATTTAATCTTCTTAGCTAGAAGAATCATTCCTCCGTAAATTCTGATGGCGACAAGACTATGCCAATACTATATTACTAAAGAAGTCTTTGTCTGAATGGCTGGTCTCTATTCATTTATATTTTCTCCTTCTTCTGGAGTTAGACTTCCTTTTGTCCTTTTTATTTTATCTGCGACAATTCTGCTAATGTTATATGGTGATGGCATAAGGTTAGAAAGATGTGGAGCCTTTCGCATAGAGACGACTTCAGGGCTTTGAGTGCCATCTTTTTTTTTCTTTCGCCTCTCTTCGTGGTTTGCATATAGTAAAGGAAAGCCGCCGGTTCTTGGTTTCTCTAACATGACTGGACTAATCCTCTAGAAATCTGAATAAAAAAAGATATTGCATACACTCAAGTTTTTTTTCAACTGCCCTGAATTAGTAGAGCCGGTCACAATGCATTTCTTTCCCTTTGTCTTCACAGGTTGTGTGTCCTGCTTAGACTATGATGAACACTACATTGTAACCTTCCCCAATGGATATGGGAGGTGAGTGAAAAATAATCGGAATAACACAGCTGCTGCAAACGGCTTTGGGGAATTCTATTTTTCCCACAACTGTTAATTAATATTTAATTAGGACATCCACTGACCACTTTACCATTACATGTACTAAGCATGCTTTAAAGCCACGTCATGTTGTTAATGTGTGCAGGTCTATATGGTCTATATAGCTAATTGCAGGCTGTAGAAACTAGCAAACATTGGCTTTTAATAAACTTTGACAATAACTTTGATGCTGTCCCTTCTATCTTTAGCTGCCCCCAGAGTACACATCACAGCATTTAGAAATGGAGGTTTCCACTATAAAGCAGACTGCTGAGGTTCTCTCTCAGCTCCTTGTCAGCACATGCACACTTCTAATGCTGCCCCTCCCTCTTCCAGTCTAAAATCATATCATTATTTTTTGAATGAATATATAGATATTGATACATTTATTGGTGTTTTGCATCTGCCTGGAGTTCAGATCTAAGTTTATATCTCGCCAGACAGTGCTTGAAGAAATATTTCTGATAGTACTGGGTCAATGAGCTGGCTGGTGTCTCACATCTGCGATGGCTGTTATATCCTTTAAAAATATATTTATCCCGGCTAAATCAATCGGTAACTTTGCTTTTATCGGTTCTATATATGGTATATGTATTATGAACTGCTTAAGAAACCTATGACCAAAAAAAGTGTGTCCTCAGGTCCATCCTCACTGTGCCATGGGTGGAGCTCGGAGGAGAATGCAACATCAACTGTTCCAAAACCGGCTACAGCGCCACCATCACCTTCCACACCAAACCTTTCTATGGTGGGAAGAAGCACAGAGTCACAGCGGAAATCTAGTGAGTGTAGAAGATCTCCTTGGCACAACTGTCCTCAGTTCATAAGAACCAAAGCAAATATTTTCTTTTTGTCCCTTTTTCCCTTCTAGTTCTCCTAATGACAAGAAGTCTTTATGTTCAGTGGAAGGAGAGTGGAATGGTGTTATGTATACAAAAAATGCAAGTGGGGTAAGATGTATTTCATAATGAGGCATTCTTGTTTCTTCCATTGTTGTCATATTTGGTTGTTTTGGTTTCTTGATGAACTTCTAGAGCAGGCATATTGAATTCAAATTTAAGAAGGTCCAGTCAGTAAACTTTTCTTTCAGCAGAGCTGCGAATCTTGTGTCTTTGCCCCCCTGGCATTAGGTGTCCCCATCAGAGTACCTGCTTACATGTAATGAGTGCTGGGTTATATCTGACTGGATGAGCGGGCCTTGGAGAGTCTCCTTGCGCCAGCCAGACATGACCCATTGCCAGGGGCACAATTGGGGTCTACACAGAACTGTCATTTACGCTCGCCCCAAAAACTGCAAGTTACCACCCCACCCTCAGTCTTTTGCTTATTTAAAATCTCAAAGGTTTTATAGTATAACTATGGCCTCCCATTTCAAATCAATATATGCTTCAGTACTGAAATGCGAGTCCCCCTGCAAAGTCCCACAACTATGTGTTGATCCTGCCAGTGAAGATCATATAATGCAGCTTCCTGTGATGGTGTGGCAATGATGCTGCACTGATTCTGAATTGCCACTCATGTAGGCGGAGCCTTCTTGCAAAATGTTGCAGAGGGTGTGGCTATCGGCATTGTCACTGCTGCATCACAAGCCTGTAGCTTTCCAATCAGTACCTTGCTACACTTGTCCTGCTTTCTGGATTGATGGAACTACCTCTGTGCCTGAAACCTCCCACTGTGAGCTGCAGTACCTTGGAGGGGGAGCATGAGACGCAAAGGATGATTTGGCTTGGTCAGGGAAGGTAAAGGAGTTTTACGGTTTACTTTGAGGCTTGCACATTATATAAATGAGTCCTGCAAAAGCCTTTATTTTGGCTGAGATTGAACGTTTATCTGCCGGCTCTGCTGTGTACTACAACATTGATTTGCGTGGCTATAAAGCACCCCAGTCATGACAGACCACAAGAATAACTCAACATAGGTAAAACCAACCACGCACGCACACTATATGTGTACTACAAAAGTGATATATACATATATCACTTTTGTAGTACACATGTAGTATATATATATCATTTTAGTGACATTTGTGTCTTCATTAAGATTTGCTCTTCTGACTCGGAGAAAGGAAGCAATGTGTAAAACTCCATAACTGAAAACGGACAGCAGTTAAAACCCAACAAATGCTCTAACCCCTGACCTCTCCATACAAAACATAATACAGGTGGTCTACCTTAAAGTGTAACTAAAGTAAACGGCTGGTGCCCAGGGCTGTGTAAGTATGCACAGCATATCTGCATATTATGCCCCCCCGGCCAGGTTCAGCGTCTTTGGCCATGATTGGCCGGCATGGGATACTGAAATACCCGTACATACGTATGGGAGTTCAATCATCCCCTCGCAGAAGGCAATCCAAGACTGTACATTGACCTACACATGGAAGAAACATTGCTGGCAAGACATAGAGGAGGTGTTATTCCAGAAGAGTCTGTGATAAAATCCTGACTGTCAGCAAGCCTCAGTTCCACTTTAACTCCATCTCAGTGGGCAGTCACAAGACCAGACTAGTTTCCTGTCCCCCCAAGGCCGCCATCAGACCATTAATTGTAAGTACTCATGAGGCTTATTCTATTATTATTATTATTAAGTGGACCTTTGCCTTTTTTTTTCTTTTCACAGGAGAATGTCGTTTTTATAGATACCAAGAATATGCCTATGGTAAAGAAGAAGGTCCGCAAGTTGGAAGATCAAATAGAATTTGAATCCAGAAGGTAAATATATATTGCCCTAAGACATAACATTATTGTACCTACTGTAAAATCCATGAGGGACATGGGAATTATGAAATAGTTGGGTTATACTGCTGCCTGCAGGAGACTGGGACACTGGCAAATAGAACAATTGTAACCAGGCCCAATATAACTCCTCCTCTACCCAATATGCCTCTGTTTTGTGAGAAAACAGTACAAAGGTCCAGCAAGAAGCACAGAGGTGGGACCCGTGTCCCTCAATAGACTCTGAGATTTCTTTTTTGTACCTGGCATGAAATCCTGTAAGGACAGTGAGTCTAAACCAATGAGAGCCAATTGGCAATCCACTAAAACAGGTAGGACATCACATTATGAGGAGGAAGATACCAGATCAACATAAAACCAAACCACTGAGAAAATCCCAGAAAAACAGGTCCCTAAAGGGCACATAACATGTCCAGAATAGAAAACCATCTGGTCCAAATGAGAAGACACAAGCCTTTTACTGCTGAGCCTTAGGGAAAGGAAGTTTCATGAGGAGCATAGAGGTTGGTCAGTCGGTCAGACAACAGGATGTAAAGCCTTCCCAGTATAATATCACAACGGCTCGATAAATAACCCCTGAGACTGGGAAAAATCCCAAGGGTACGAGCCCTGGCGTCAGGCTGTGCCTAGAGCCTCATAGCTGCAGTGTAAGATCTCAGACACTGCTGCCTCTGACTGCTAATCTCATGAGATTTGGTGCCATCAGTACAGTGCTGCTCACTTTTCTCCTTGCTGGAGGCCCTGCCATGAGGATGTAAAACCCTACTTCTACTAAGATGGTCACCTCCGCCTAGGGACACACTACAGACCAGGGCATTGTGAGTCTGTAATGGGTAAAAATCAGATGCAGCGAGACCATGTGCAGGACTGGTGACTAGTCCCTTTGCCTTCTGTGCCCCATCCCCCAACATCTTCCAGGGTTTCCTTCCTCTATCAAGAGACACCTTCTCATGTATGGCAAAGTGACAGTGCTTTCACCTGATATACCGGCCCATCCACAAGTTCTCACTCCATTGCTCTAATAGAGAAGGGCTTCTGGTTATTAGGGACCATGTGACCTCCCACATGACAGTACTTGGGACAGAGGATAAGTAAGGCAGTGACTTCATCCACTGGGGTAAGCGAAGACTTTTCAGGGAGGACTCATGCAGGAGGAGTGTAGATGGGTGAGGTGTACACCTTGCTGGGTACCAAGCGGCACGGTCACTCTGCCTTAAATAAACACAGTCCCATTTAAATATGTGTGCGTTCTAAAGCACTGAACATATAATGCTCCTGACTGACGGAAAAGGATGTTTCATTGCATTTGGATTAGAGTGTAACAGTATGTAATTGCAGTGTGTGTGACCTACTCCCAGCAGTGCTGAGCATTAAATACAATGCAGACTTTCTCACATCTACACTTTCAACAGGTTATGGAAAGACGTCACATACAACTTGAAGGTCAAAGATATTGACGCTGCCACTGACGCAAAGCACCGCCTGGAAGAGCGGCAACGAGCTGAAGCCAGAGAGCGCAAAGAAAAAGAAGTGCAATGGGAGACCAGGGTACGCTCCACTTCTTGTATTTCCAGTCATAGCATCAAATAAGATTCCAGCCATCAGTATCCTATCCCCAGGAGTCACATAGTCTATAGCTGGTGCTTGCCATATCTTCAAGGCAAAGGAGCAGTAACTGCAGTGCGTCACTCAGATGTAAACACTTCCATTTCTCCTAGAAAAATGAGGCATTGCAACGCTGCCATCGTCTCTTCACACAGCTCCCGGAGGAAGGGGGCGGGGCCACGGTTCAGCTTAGCCATGCTCCCTGACCACTCCATTGCAAATACCCTCCTGACCTAGAAACACTCTCCCAGTTTCTTGGCTCAGGAGAAGGTTTTACATGCTGCTGGCCGTGTCCCCATAGACAGGTGTAGGTGCTTCTGCGGAGTGTCTCCTGTCTGAGTAAGCGGCCGGGTTGGAGGATTACACGGGTTTAAACTAACCTGCACTTCTGTCCCCTTCCTGTGATTGGAGACATTTCATCTCAGCTGGACCAGACAATCCTAGCAATACAAAGTGGAGACATAACCTGTCAGGTTAGCAAATGCCCAAAGCATAAAACTCAGAGGTTATATATGTCACCTCCAAACTATCCAAAACTGGGGGAGGGGGAATTAGGGATGCACCGATACCAGTTTTTCGGTATCAAGTGCCGATATTTTTTTTTTACCGGTACTGGCTGATTTGGAATACCAGAGACTTGTGTCCCGATTTATCAGGAAGTCGGCGGATCACAAGTGCCTGGGAAGCCAATGTTCTATTGAAAAAAAATACCAGCTTCATTTGCTGAGGCTGCCTGACCAGTCAGGAAGCCGGGTTATTACGTGCCATCTCACTTCCTGATTGGTCAGGAAGCCAGACTGCCTAGCAACAAGTAAAGCTGGCTTCCTAACCAATCAGGTAGCCGGGAGGCAGATGATAACCCACAGCCCGGCTTCCTGATTGGAAAGGAAAGCCAGTTCCATTGGCACTGCCGGTTAGAGGGAGATCTTCTGGTATAGGAGGTAAGTATCGGAGCATTTGGACAAGGGCGAGCTCTCCATTGGGGAATCTCTAGTAAGAACGCGGGCAGTGGGACAGATTATGTGGGTGTAGCCTTGTCCTATGTACAGAGATGTCGCTCCTTCTCTACTGACCTGCCTCTTCATTCTCTTAGCTGTTTCATGAGGATGGCGAGTGCTGGGTGTACGATGAGCCACTGCTTAAAAGATTGCCCATCAAGCAATGAGAGGCCTATAGAACAATCAGAACAGAACCCTATCAAGAACCAGGTGAAGTCCAGAAAAAAACCAAGATGGTATTGTGACATTTCCGGATGATCCGACTCTCTCTCTGGTGCTGGGAGTGCCCTTACATTGCAGCGGTTCTTTACTCAGGGATACTGGACTTCAACAGAGTGACAATTCAAACAGGACATGGTGTCCATGATCCACAATAACGCTTTAAAGGTCCTGTACTTCCCCCATACAAAGCATAGCTGGTGCCTGATGATGGGCCTGTCCGCTCCGTAGAGACTGGTGTCACCTTGTAACTTCATCCCTAATGGATGAATAGGGTAAGCCAGGCCCATGAAATGATTGATTCATTGCATACAGGTCCCAGGTCCCAGCACCTCTACCCACCACAGCTGTCTCCTGGAATGAGTCTGGATGTCTACTGCATCACCGGTATGGCTGTGATAGGCAATGGTCAGCTGCCGGATGGAATTCTCTGCATTCCCGGGGGAGACCACTAGATGGCACCAGACACAAATGCTGCATCACTAGCCCTCTGGTGGGTTCTCTATAGGAATCCAAGCACCCCGTTGTCACAGCTATCCTGGGGGAGGGGGGATTTCCCTGTCTGAAACCTGGACATCACTTCCCCATTCCAGCAATATCACTTTTGGTTGGAGCTGTACTTTAATTCTAAAGAATTGGCCTGGGAAAGCCCATAACATAAGTTCTACATTAGGCCTTATTACCCAGCGACACATTCTCCTTCCTCTGACTATCACAGGACACGATTGCTATTCTATATCCGCTCCTCTTGTATATACAAATCTGTCCATTTCATAACCTCCAGAACTTTTACTTCTGAAAATTAGACAACTTTTACTTTTCAGCACTATCCATACCGACCTGAAATTCTCACATGTGTTAGCTGCCCTCTTCTCTTCATATATATATATAGTTATTTTTTTCTTCCACCCCAGGAACTGGTCTTGCCTTTGTATTTATTTATTTCCTAATGAAATGGTTAGAGAAATTATTTTATTAGATCTGCATTTATGATTTGCAATTAAAATCTAATCAGAAAAAAAAATAATCCTTGTGCGTAGTTTCTTTTTTTTTTTTAAAACCACATTAAAGAAAATCTTTTCCCTTCAAGGAGAAAGGTGGAGAATGTGAAATACTCTCCCGGTGTGGGACATTGCGTCTGTCACATGGCAGCTCTGACAGCCAAAAGCTCAGCAATCACAGTGCAGAGACCAATGACAAGCCAGTCTGTGCCCCAGAGGGATTCCCCCCAGCACTCATTGGAGGAACAGACAGGGGGCGGGGCTCTAGAGAGACCACTGTCAATCAGACAGCCAGACAATATTGTTGGGATCCTTCCTGGCTGCAGCGTGGTTCTGCACACGTAGGCGACACCTCACCGCACGATTGCTGCACGATATCATACTCTATCCTACACTCTCTTACTCACATTTTCAATCTTTCACTCTCTACTGGAATCTTTCCTACCCCTCTTAAACATGCACTAGTCACCCCAATACCCAAAAAACCTTCGCTGGACCCTACCGACCTCAATAATTTCAGACCTATCTCCTTACTCCCATTCACCTCTAAACTACTAGAACGCCTCATCTACAACCGCCTGAGTTGCCACCTCGCTAATAACAACCTTTTGGACCCCTTTCAGTCCGGCTTTCGCCCTCAACACTCCACTGAAACCGCCCTCCTAAAACTCACCAATGACCTAATAACAGCTAAAAACAATGGCCACTAATGCCACGCGGGCAGGAGTCGCCAAGGTGTGAACCGATTGTGCTGTGGGTGCCATTATTTTCTAATGGTACCCCAGTCACGCCGGGCAGATCACAAAAGTACCTTCTTTTTTAAATCAATGGGGCCACGCGGCAGTTGCTGCCTGCCATCCCAGTTCGCGGAGGTCTGCACCGGGCCTCAGGCAGTAGATGGCAATCTATGGACTTTGGGTCACGAGAGACATTAGTAAGTACACTCCTGTGACCCAAAAATGGTTTGGCTTTATTTCTCTCTCAGGTATATGGCTTACAAATCCACAGGGCAGGGGTCGGGGGGGGGTCAAGGTTCTCCTCGGAGTGCCTGGGGATGCTTAAAACTTGCCGGCTGCACTGCTAGAGATCTTACTGGTCATTCAGCACGCAGGTTGTATCAGTGGGACATCAATGGAGCAGGACGCTGTGTAGGGCTACCCAATAGAGTGCTCTGTAAGATGTGTTTACAGGTTCACAATCCCTACATTCCCTATAGGAACTTATCTGCAGACCTGTTACCCCAGAACAGCCTTTTCTTCAAAAAAAAAAGTCCCAGCGCACCGCAGTTCCTGTTCATGACTATGATGGTTCTGGACTGTACAAGTATCGCCCATTCATAGGGCGGCCACAAGGACTGCTGTAAGGAAAAGCCTGTGTGTAGCATTGGGCAGGACTGCAGCTCGGGTTCTTTTACCCCGAATGTGCTGATAGGACGATGCTCTTCCCTAATCTATTTATGGCCGGTGTGGATGGGCTTTTGTATTCCCATACAGGTCTATGGGTATGTAGAACTTGCTGAAACACACCTGTCCATGAATCCTGAATCTCAAACAAGTCCAAAGTCCAACACAGATATGTTTGAGGCTCAGACCCAGAAAAAGTAAGCTATAAACCAGGGGGTGGGCTGTGGTGAAACTACAAATCCCATCATGCAATGGCTCATGGGATTTGTAGTTCCACAACAGCTGCGCGGTCTAATAATTTCCCCTCAGTTACTCGTTATTCAGAAACACTGTGACTTTTTTTTTCACCTGTGATCATTATTAAAAATTTTAAATAAATAATTTATTTAAAAAAAAAAACCCACTGTGACTGCACAAGTGTGACGCCATCTTAGTCCAGGTCTTCACATATCAGAAACAACACAAACCTGCCGAGGAATGAAAGCCATTATATAGCAGCTCGGTGCTCCCACCCCCCCGTTGGTGCTAGTAAGCTGCGTCCGTCTCTCGACACACAGGGGCGGCTCCATAGGACACTGCAAGGGAGAGAAGCCACCTTAAAATAGTGACCCGTCCCTGGTCACGTTCGCCCAGAAGAAGGTGCCCTGCGTGGCCCCGAAACGTTGGCTGTTTGACAATTGAATAAAAAGTGCTTTACTTCTTGCACATATCGAGTGCTGGTGACTTCTATTATGGACTGTATCTGACACGGCGCCATCCATGTTGTCACTTCAAGCACCAATCTTTCACCCAAGGTCTGTACGCTGCATGGAGTGCAGGTGATTTCATATTATCGTATGTATTTGTGGAGAGGGAGACACACACACACAGCTTTCTAACACAAGGGTGGCTCCACCCTGCAAAGGAAAGGAGTCACAACAGGATATCAGGACCAGCTGATTCTGCAGGAAACCAAAAAAACTTTTAAATATCAAGAAGCAGCATCCATTGTAAGTAAGTGATTTCATCAATACATTAAACCCCTCTGACTTTAAATAAACATCTCCCATCTGTTCATTCATTTTGTAAAAGCGCCTCTGATCTAAAAACGAGTCAGGACGGACTCCAGTGTGAGGAAAGTTCCTGCCGCAGAAAGATGTGTTTCCTAATGCTGAACAATGAACTGACTGGTCGCTATCGGATACGAGGCTCAATTTCCTTTCATCCTCTTTTTATATATGAACCTTAATAGGCCCGAGAATCAATGTCGGTACCAAGAGCCGTGTACATGGGCCCCTAATAATCAAGAAAGGGCGCAAAAACACTGGCTAGCTAAAGAAGTTATAATGAAGACTAAAAGGTGGTGGCACTTACGCGTGATTGCCAGGATCTGGAGATGGAGGATCGGGGCATTCGTGGTGTGGGTCCAACTGTAATTGATGTGCTGATCCGAGAGGTACATCCACAGGAGGGTGTAGGCAAGAAGAGGGGACTTCGTCCGAAGTGCCGTTGGGGATCTGTACGGTGTGGAGGAGAGGCAGGGAGATCGCTGTGGTGTCGGCAATGGACAGGGCTGTAGCAGCCGCAGCTGTGTGTGTCAGCGGGCGGTCGCTGTCAGGTCTGCTGGGGACAGTGTACGGAAGCAGCTGACAGATGCCGAAGGTCGAATCAATGGTGAGATGGAGAGGGATCAAAGCGGACAAGAGCGACGCGTTTCGAGGTACTACCTCTTTTTCAAGCTCGGGTAAAGCATTACTGCATTATATATTCTGTAGAATAAAATGGCAGCAGTTGCAAATCATTATATTGCACGATATCGGCGCAAATCTTTATCAAACCCCCAACATTTTTTGAAAAAAAAATTAGGGCTGCAACAACTAATCGACATAATCGATTATAATCGATTATTGAAAAAGTTGTCAACTTTTTCAATAATCGATTCATCGGCTTCCGATCAGTTGGCCCTGTTCACGGCTCCACACAAGAGCACTTGAGAAAAAAAAAAATTTCATGAAATATAAAAGATGAGGTTACGACGAGTAACTCGATATCCAACATGCCCAGGTTACAAATTGTGTGCGTCCGGGAAATGGCATCAAAATTCAGTACCCCAAAAAGTCCACTGACAACGCTTTAAACTGATGACCTGTAGGGGCTTTTAGAGATACGCATAAATACCGGCTCTAGAATTATTGCCGTCACTCTGGTGTGCGTGGTGATACCCAACATGTGTAGCGCGATTGCTGTTTTCAAAAGTAGGCGCACCCAACGTGTGTTTGTGTAAATTTACAAGCTTGCGGGGACTGTAACAAAATAAATTATATTTTTACGATTATTTTTTTAAACTTTCTTTGTAACTTTAATTGCCATCACATGGGGCGCTTACAAGCCCCCCCATGTGATAGTGACAGGTACTTTTTAAAGGCAGTGGTTCTCAACCTGTGTAACCTCGGGACCCACATATTTCCTTGGCCATTAAGGCGTGACCTAAAAATGATTCATTTCTGAGACATTTTAATTTATTACACAAAACAACTTGTGCAGTATTCAGCAACTAATATATATATATAATTTATTGAACAGTAAACAACTGAAAGTAAATGAATTTTAAAAAAGTTTATAAAGAATAAAAATTAAATATTTATAAAAATAAAAAACGTGTGGCGGTTTCGGGGTACAGTTCCAAGTCCCCTCTCTCCCCGGGCCATATCACTTTATCGGAGAGCCCGGGGGGGACAGTTTAACATTATGAGGTTCCCACAGAAGGAACCACAAATTCCCCCTCTTGTTCTCTCTAATGCAGATGGGCCGGTCTATGCA